CAGTACAGGGGTGTAGTCAGGTGTACAGTACAGGTGTATAATCAGAAGTACGGTACAGATGTTCCACCTGCTAATTGCTCTATACTTCTAAACATCCATATAGTCAGCTATGTTAAGTCTATCATATATGCATCAATCCAGCACTGCCCTCTATCTAACACCTGTAATTTGATCAAGACAAGCCTTCTGGGGTGTAATTAATGAATATAACTGGGAAACTCCTGACTGCAACAGTGTGGATTACAGTCAATATCACTCCCCTAGCTATGAGCTAAGTACAAGTATTGGCCCATCATGATCAGGGGATTTAGCAGTGTGCCAGAAACAATATTATGTTTAGGATTATGGGTATATCATAACTTGAACCTTGTTACATATCAGCAACAAAGGGACTAAGCTGGCTCCAGTGTAATCGCCGTGATCGTATATTGTGGTGGCAGATTTAGAAAACATGATGTAAGCATGTCATATGATATAGATTGCGATGTTTTGATTTGAGGAAATACAGCCAGCTTAACATGAAATACATGTGTCAAACGTATTAGTCATAACTGTATGTTGCTTCGATAACTATTTTGAAATTATTCCATGATATAAATGTGTGAGGTAATACATTTTGTCGTTTTTTGATTGAGGAAAACAGGGTCAGGTAAATTGAGATGTTTGTGTTGTGTCAAAAGGAAGGTCTTACATGGGGAAAGTATTTTTGTGATTAATGTTGTCGACAGAAGGCTAGTGAACATAAATAGTTACAATTTGATATGCATGCCACTGAATATTTTGTCTTTTATTTGGCTGATGTGAATAGATATGTTGTAGCCTACAGGATGAAATATGTGTGTAGTTACGACTGTAATGGTAGAATGTTGTATGATATTCAGAGCCTTTTTGCACTTATTTCGAACAAATTTATGATTGTCATGAGTGTTCACTGTTAAACATCACTTTCAGTAGTAGATCTGAATGCAATTGAATCTTGTCAATTTAGATGATCTTTTAGTTGTTGCAGTTTTTGTTAACTGACAAGTTAAAAAATGGTGATCAGAAAAAAGGTCATGGAAAAGTCATCGGAAAAATAACTAAAATCCTGTTGTCCAGTTATTTGCTTTGTTTATACTGTATTTCATAAATACTATTTCACTTTCATCTTCAATAAAATTAATAAAACATCCTGTTATTTCGAAAAACTTTCAAGTTAATTATTCCTTTCAGTGTGATACTGTAAGCAATTGGATCTTATCAAAACAGGTGAAATGAACATATTATTAGTTATTTAGTTCGTAAAAGGATTATGGGATTTAAAGTCACGAGTCATATATGTTGTTTAACTTGCTTTAAGTTAGGTTCAAATTTGATAATATAATAAATATATTATCAATACTGACTTTTTGGAGTTTATGACTTTTTTTCCTATGACCATTTTTCCTACAACTAAAACACCCCAAATATTTGAGGTTTATAGGGATAGATTGAGTACATTGATTTTTCTTATCCTGTTTTGACCAGTATTCCACAAGTTTCACCTTTACTTTTATGTAGCGTACACATTACTACAGTCAATGTTATCACAAATACTTCACCAGCCTACAAACTGAATTCTGGAAGTGATGGCAACATATTCTTCATTACCAAATGCAGATGATAATAATTCCAAATATAGTATGTTTACATCATACCACGGCTTGTCAGACTTAGGAAGAAGAAAGCCCAATTAATGCTAGTGTACAATGGACTGCTTCACATATATTTCTCTCCCTCCACCACACCCCACCCCCCCACCCCACCACCACACACTCACACACTCAACCCCACACATCTCGTCAGTGTGTCACAGAAATTCCTCATTATTCTTTAGCATCACTAGTTTCGATAAGCATGTAAATATCAATATCTATTTCTCCCTCTCACTAGGCTGTTAATAATTCAATCCCACCTCTAACTATGTTTATTACACATCACATGAAACATGCCATTGTCTTATGAACCACCTTGTATGATGTTCATTCACAAAGCACAGATATGAAACCCTTTTATTTGTAAATACTGGAATATTTACCAGATGAAGTGCCCTTGTCAGCTGACACAGGCAAACTGCTGTCAGTTTCATTCCCAGTGTGGTCAGTATCACCTTTGATTAGCGTGTGAGATAAGACTCACTAATCAACACCTGTGTCACTTGCAAGGTTATATCCTGGCTATATCCTGGACCAAATATCGTTATTTAAGTGTCCTGTGTATTCAATATATTTTGCCAAGCTAGAGAGTAAACAGCGACAGCAACGTAGTTAAGTATGTTTGCTCCTTGAGTTAAAATTGATGCCTTTGTTTATGGTTTCCGCTGAGGTCTTGCTCCGATCAGTCTTTAAGTTATCATGTATCCAGCAAACCAGTACCCCCTACTGTTTGGGATAGGCAATTGCAGAATTAATTTACTGTCCTCCTTGAGAAGGCCTTGGGAGTGATTCTCTGATAGATTTATGAAAGACTGTTGTTAGAATGTTCATGCAACTTACAAAGTGTGGCATGAAATAAACTAATGTCAGGAGTGGCAGGTTGAGACGGTAGAGTTGAGGAGTTTACAAAGTGTAACTGTAGCATGGGCACACACTCTACCCAGATCACACTATACTACCCCGCCTGCCACCCTGTACAGCCACCCCTGTCACTACCCCATGCTGTCACCTGTAGTGCTGTCACTACCCCACCTGCCACCCTGTGCCTCCACCCTGTAGTGCTGTCACTACCCCCACCTGCCACCCTGTACCTCCACCCTGTAGTGCTGTCACTACCCCACCTGCCACCCTGTGCCTCCACCCTGTAGTGCTGTCACTACACCACCTGCCACCCTGTACCTCCACCCTGTAGTGCTGTCACTACCCCACCTGCCACCCTGTACCTCCACCCTGTAGTGCTGTCACTACCCCACCTGCCACCCTGTACCTCCACCCTGTAGTGCTGTCACTACCCCACCTGCCACCCTGTACCTCCACCCTGTAGTGCTGTCACTACCCCACCTGCCACCCTGTACCTCCACCCTGTAGTGCTGTCACTACCCCACCCACCCCCCACCTGCCACCCCCCTGTACAACCACCCTGTAGTGCTGTCACTACCCCACCTGCCACACCCACCTCCACCCTGTAGTGCTGTCACTACCCCACCTGCCACCCTGTACAACCACCCTGTAGTGCTGTCACTACCCCACCTGCCACCCTGTACAACCACCCTGTAGTGCTGTCACTACCCCACCTGCCACCCTGTACAAACAACCACCCTGTAGTGCTGTCACTACCCCACCTGCCACCCTGTACAACCACCCTGTAGTGCTGTCACTACCCCACCTGCCACCCTGTACAACCACCCTGTAGTGCTGTCACTACCCCACCTGCCACCCTGTACAACCACCCTGTAGTGCTGTCACTACCCCACCTGCCACCCTGTACAACCACCCTGTAGTGCTGTCACTACCCCACCTGCCATCCTGTAGTGCTGTCACTACCCCACCTGCCACCCTGTACAACCACCCTGTAGTGCTGTCACTACCCCACCTGCCACCCTGTAGTGCTGTCACTACCCCACCTGCCACCCTGTAGTGCTGTCACTAGAGGGAGAGAAGATGGGGATTGTATGGCTACAATGGCTGCTATATAGCAATGGAGTGGAGATGAGGATACTTTAGCTACTACAATGGCTGCTATGTACAGAGGGAGGGAAGATGGGGATGGTATGGCTACAACGGCTGCTATGTATCAAGGGAAAGAAAATGGGGATTGTATGGCTGCTATGTAACGAGGAAGTGGAAATGGGGATTGCATGGCTACAATGGCTGCTATGTATCGAGGAAGTGGAAATGGGGATTGTATGGCTACACTGGCTGCTATATAGCAATGGAGTGGAGATGAGGATACTTTAGCTACTACAATGGCTGCTATGTATCAAGGGAAAGAAAATGGGGATTGTATGGCTTCTATGTATCGAGGAAGTGGAAATGGGGATTGTATGGCTACAATGGCTGCTATGTATTGAGGAAGTGGAAATGGGGATTGTATGGCTACAATGGCTGCTATTTAACGAGGAAGTGGAAATGGGGATTGTATGGCTACAATGGCTGCTATGTATCGAGGGAAAGAAAATGGGGATTGTATGGCTGCTATGTATCGAGGAAGTTGAAATGGGGATTGTATGGCTACAATGGCTGCTGGCTACAATGGCTGTATTGAGGAAGTGGAAATGGGGATATGGCTACAATGGCTACAAGTGGAAATGCTATATGGCTACAATGGCTGCTATTTAATGAGGAAGTGGAAATGGGGATTGTATGGCTACAATGGCTGCTATGTATCAAGGGAAAGAAAAATGGGGATTGTAGTTGGCTGCTATGGCTACAATGGCTGCTATGTATCGAGGAAGTTGAAATGGGGATTGTATGGCTACAATGGCTGCTATGTATTGAGGAAGTGGAAATGGGGATTGTATGGCTACAATGGCTGCTATGTATCGAGGAAGTGAAAATGGGATTGTATGGCTGTATGGCTACAATGGCTGCTATGTATCGAGGGAAGTGGAAATGGGGATTGTATGGTATGTATCGACGAGGGAAGTTGAAATGGGGCTTGTACAATGGCTGCTATGTATTGAAAGGAAGTGGAAATGGGGGATTGTATGGCTACAATGGCTGAAATGTATCGAGGAAGTGGAAATTGTATATCGAGGAAGTTGAAATGGGGATTGTATGGCTACAATGGCTGCTATGTATTGAGGAAGTGGAAATGGGGATTGTATGGGCTATGTATCGAGGAAGTGGAAATGGGGATTGTATGGCTACAATGGCTGCTATCTATCAAGGGAAAGAAAATGGGGATTGTATGGCTGCTATGTATTGAGGATGTGGAAATGGGGATTGTATGGCTACAATGGCTGTCATCTCACACAATATGCGTGCTGATTGTTGATGGCATGATGATGTGTCACAGATAAAACAAATGAATTTTTAACTTTTCAGGGAAACACTCAGGTGGCAGAATTGTAAGTGGTTGGTGAGTAGCTGTGCTTCTTCAATGTTTATTAGTAAAATTGGAAAATATAATTTCAAACGTAACTGAGACGTTCACACAAACAGCATGAATATATTACTCCATTCATTCCAACGTAATTACTAAATGGCATAACTGTGAAATAATCACTAACTTGAGTGGTTTGCAGCTAGATGAGCACAAACATGAATATTTGCATTTTTCAAAGAAGTAAATAAATATTGACCATAGAGTGACTTGCTATTTTACTATCTAAATATTTTGCTGTGTTCTTAGAGCATTGTCCATCACCTGTGCAAACACGCCAACACGCCATGGCTACCACGATGTGCCGATTGGCTTTTTTCGCAGGTACGGTCTGCCAAGATGGACTTTCACACAGTTTGGCCGGATTGATGTAATTGCTGTTAATTTGATGTAAAATACCCGAAGGTTTAACTTATCTCTGTCAGTGTTTAATTTTGAAATCTTCTCAAACATTTGACAAAGTTGGTCTGGTTAATTGTTACAGTTATGTAGAGTTGCCTGGGAAACGCTGCGAAGCTACCCTCCACAAGTAGGATATGCGTTTGATATAGATACGTTTCCAAGGGGGGACCTGCAATACAGATGACCGTGTTATCACTCTCAAGAGCTACCTTCAAGATAGGCCGCTTTGGTGAATTCTCTCTAATCTGTTTTCAGGTGTTTGTGAAACAATGATACCGCTGTCATGGATGATTTTATTCTTCTTAAGCCACTTGACAGAAATCAAACTCACTTCACGGAATTAAAGGGTTGATTCAATTGGCATGTATCGACAAAAAAGGATAAAATGGTATTTTGATGAACAAAGGGTTATCTTACTTGAAACATATGTTTGTGCATGTGTCTAGAAATGTGAGGATTGATGGTGTTTGGCAGAATCAAGGATTAAAATGATACTATCTGTGATGATAGGTTTTGTCTTAATAATCGATTTGTTTTGTTTTGAGTGATATTGATCTTGAATCTGGTTCAACAAGGTGATCATGCCCCACACTTTAATATAGACTTCACCACTGTCATAGTGCTGTGGTCGGGTTGTGGAATGTGGCTGTCCCATTCCAATTTAAAAGAAAATAGTTATTATTTTATACCTCTTCTGTCATCAGTCATGGAATGTTTAGGTCTATGTAATATGTTGAGGATATGTATTGATGTTTCCAGCTGGACTTTAACAGGACCTGTTGTAGACATTGTAGATTGTTTCACTTCCCTTCAACACTGAATCACTTTGAAGTTTGAACAATATAGCATTTGTTTTCCATCAACACAAAAACATTCAATCAGTGTTCTAGGGCATCAATAGAAGTGATTTTGTGGTGTTGACCAAATTTTATTCACCACAATTAAAGTATGGAAAACAGACAAGGGGGTGGGGTGGGTGAAGATGTGCATGAAATTATCTGCAAGAAAATATAGTCTTCATGAATGTTATTCTTGACACAAATCATATTCTTTATCTTGAGTATTTACTGGCATTGTATGAGACATATAATTCTGGAGAATATAACTGGATACACAGTATGTCCGAGTTTCTCAAAAAATAGCAATCACACCTCTGGGCCCACTAGGAAGATTACAATACATATATTTCAGCATTCTGGTAGCCTTTCTGAGCCTGGAGCTCTGTTGAACATGCGGGCCATGTATTCTGCTGAGTAGATGGGTACTTCGATGCTGAGAGTAGGTCCACAATGAGTTAGAGGCCGATGGTCCTCCCATATGGTCCCAGCGTACTGAGTGACCAGTGTCCAGATGGACACACACCACTGACCATCTGTTTCTCTCATTTCAGAGACTGATGGGGCAACAGGTTGTGAGATTATGTGTAGTTATAAATGGCCTGTGCCACATCAAACTAACCATGTAATCACTTACTTTGTCCTCAGATAATGTGCTGTTTTCTCCACAAGACTTTCAGTGTAATTATCTTTAATATTTGCATCTTTGTCACAAGCAGAGGAAAGCAATGGTTTGTTGTAGTAAATGTATCTGTTCATATTTTTGTTGCACATTATTATGAAATTGAAAGAACAATTCATCTCTATTACTGTGAAACAATGAAGGAAACAGATATTCATCACTGAGACATGTCAGTTTCAAGCAACAGGGTGTGCATTTTACATTTGCATTATGATAAAACCGATTTAGAGCGGTAAATGTCACTGAACACGGTATCTCATGTACATGTACAATCTATTCCACTAGTCCCTTGTCCTGTTTTGATGTATAAATGGATATTAAATACCAAGTGGCAATCTGCACTGTTCTGATCAAGTTTGACATATTCCATCAACAGGTGTTAACCTCTTGGCTTTAATCCAGCCAAACAAAGGGTTTGCTGAAGGCGTAAACTCTATTAAAGTTCATATATTAAAGATCTTGATAGCAGCCTTCAAGGGTAAGTGTGGAGTTACGGGGTCTAGGTAGTCGCCGACTGTGACAGGGAGTCACGACATTTGGCGACAGTCTTGTGGCGACAGTCAGGTGGCAGAGATCATGAACATTATACAATGGCAAACTCCTTGTAGTGGATGAATATTGTTGTGATCAGAGTTTAGTCTTGTTATATTACCGGGGTACTGTGTGTATTGTTGAGATGGACCATGTATGGATCTTCATACAGCTGTATGACAGTGGCCTGTAAATGTCTGGACCAGACAAACCAGTGATTGACTGTGACCAGCAGTCCATTCTGTCGGGTACAATGACATGCAACACCAGGCTAGCTTTAAATTCTTTGATTTGGAGATGAAATATGCAGTACATTTTTCATAAGAATCATGATCTTCATATATCGTAATTCAACAGTAAAGGGGCGGTGGGTTAGCCTAGTAGCTAAAGCGGTCGATCGTCACGCCGAAGGCCTGGATCGATTCCCCACATGGGTACAATGTGTGAAGCCCATTTCTGGTGTCCCCCGCCATGATATTGCTGGAATATTGCTAAAGGTGGTGTAAAACTAAACTCACTCACTCACTCAACAGTGAACTTAGACACAGTAGAGGTGTCCTTTCATAATACCTTGATCGACTGGTGATGGGTGTAAATCCTATCATCACCTGATGATGGGCAAGGAAGTAGCCTTGAAACATTGATACAGGCCATACACATCCTGATGGCCATAAAGTTTCATGTTCCAGATTCTAGAAGCCTATCTAGGACCTATTCTAATTCTTTAGTTCAACAGTGATCTTTACTAAAGATGAATACATATATGAGCTGTGGCGTTCTACCCACTGAAAGCTGACTTACTGTGATAAAACTGAAACACTGTTAGAAGCAGGATTGAATTCACTCACTCACTCACTCACTCACTCATCGAAATGAGCATGACTATAGCTCAGTAATGCAACAGCATACACTCTGTGCCCCAATTGTTCATTGTGTAGGGGTGTTCTGTCTGGGGTCTGAAGATCATGAGGGTATGCACCCAACATCATCATCATAGCGGAATGCGATGTCACGTGTTTCTGTTTCCTTCTCGTGCATATATGGAAAACAAATACACGTGACGATAATGCATTGGAATTTGATAATATTGTTCGTAATAATTTCTTCCTTGTCACGTTGTGAGTTTCATGTCACTTTGATAATTTTGTGAGTTATATTTGTGCAAATGTTTTAATCACTATTTGGCAAAGAATGGAAAATGAGTGAGTGTGGTGGTTGTTTGGGATGAGTAGAATCTCAGATTCGAACCCAGAGCCAGTAGATCCTGTCATGACTAAAGGATGCTACTGTGTACCACACATTGAACACCTTGAACCACTGGGCCACCAGTGTCTTTGTGCTGTCTAAACTTTATAACTAACAAAGATATAAACAGAACTTGACAGAAATGTGAAGTTTAAAAACATTTTTGAAATACATGTATAACATATAGTCAAATTATTATCATGCATGCAAACAGATATATTGCTTGTTTATGTTTGGTGAACAATAAATATTTGTTTTGAAAAGTTTTCTAATGTTTTTATTGATTTGTATCATCATTCAGGATGTTGGATTCACAGGATATATCACTGATACAACACATGATACTTCATACATGCTACTAAACCTTTTGAAAAGAATATATATATATATATATCTGTTTACATAAACACAATGTTGTTATGAGTTATCAGTTTGGTGTGTGTGTCAGTCAGTAACTGCAATATCCTGATCAAAAGTTAAGTTTTATGTGTATTGGGGATGAGTTTTGTTGGGCTGTATTTCGATCAGTGTTCCAATTATATCACTGCATGTCATCTTAATGTGGGAGCCTGGTGCAGACAAACCAACATGTGGGATTGGAACTCAGGATTATAGGTTTCTGGCATCCCAAAGATATATAACTCTGCACAGCGAACTGCTGCATGGTGGACGACGGGGTCACTTGTGTTTGTATGACGTCAGCCTGTGTAAAAAACACAGTGAGATAACAACATGTGAAATGTAAGAGGTGATAAACATGAGTATTGTTCTGCTGTAAATAATTTCAAAATTTCACCTGAAGTCCAGGTAATGATGCTTCACAGTGATGTTTTTATTGCACTCCGCTACATCAAGGGGGATTGAACTATCATAAACTGAGACATCTGTACAAACAAGTGGTTGAACATACCAAACTGATCAGAATAACAGTCATAATAGCCAACAGTTTGTGCAGGATAATGTTTCTGAACCCTACCTGATCCAAGCATGGAGTTTAGTTCACCTGGTGCAGACATGTAACCTGCCTGGTCTATGTACATACATATAGCTCACCTGGTGCAGACATGTAACCTGCCTGGTCTATGTATGTACCTGGTGCAGACATATAGCTCACCTGGTGCAGACATGTAACCTGCCTGGTCTATGTACATACATATAGCTCACCTGGTGCAGACATGTAACCTGCCTGGTCTATGTACATACATATAGCTCACCTGGTGCAGACATGTAACCTGCCTGGTCTATGTACATACATATAGCTCACCTGGTGCAGACATGTAACCTGCCTGGTCTATGTACATACATATAGCTCACCTGGTGCACACATGTAACCTGCCTGGTCTATGTACATACATATAGCTCACCTGGTGCACATGCAACCTGCCTGGTATGTAACCTAGCTCACTGACATGTAACCTGCCTGGTGTACATACATATAGCTCACCTGGTGCAGACATGTAACCTGCCTGGTCTATGTACATACATATAGCTCACCTGGTGCAGACATGTAACCTGCCTGGTCTATGTACATACATATAGCTCACCTGGTGCAGACATGTAACCTGCCTGGTCTATGTACATACATATAGCTCACCTGGTGCAGACATGTAACCTGCCTGGTCTATGTACATACATATAGCTCACCTGGTGCAGACATGTAACCTGCCTGGTCTATGTACATACATATAGCTCACCTGGTGCAGACATGTAACCTGCCTGGTCTATGTACATACATATAGCTCACCTGGTGCAGACATGTAACCTGCCTGGTCTATGTACATACATATAGCTCACCTGGTGCAGACATGTAACCTGCCTGGTCTATGTACATACATATAGCTCACCTGCCTGGTCTATGTACGTACATATAGCTCACCTGGTGCAGACATGTAACCTGCCTGGTCTATGTACATCATAAAGCTCACCTGGTGCAGACATGTAACCTGCCTGGTCATGTACATACATATAGCTCACCTGGTGCAGACATGTAACCTGCCTGGTCTATGCACATACATATAGCTCACCTGGTGCACATGTAACCCGCCTGGTCTATGTACATACATATAGCTCACCTGGTGCAGACATGTAACCTGCCTGGTCTATGTACATACATCACCTGGTGCAGACATGTAACCTGCCTGGTCTATGTACATGTACATATAGCTCACCTGGTGCAGACATGTAACCTGCCTGGTCTGTACATACATATAGCTCACCTGGTGCAGACATGTAACCTGCCTGGTCTATGTACATACATATAGCTCACCTGGTGCGAGACATGTAACCTGCCTGGTCTATGTACATACATATAGCTCACCTGGTGCAGACATGTAAACTGGTCTGCCTGGTCTGGTATGTATACATATATAGCTCACCTGGTGCAGACATGTAACCTGCCTGGTCTATGTACATACATATAGCTCACCTGGTGCAGACATGTAACCTGCCTGGTCTATGTGCATTACATATAGCTCACCTGGTGCAGACATGTAACCTGCCTGGTCTATGTGCATACATATAGCTCACCTGGTGCACATGTAACATGTAACCTGCCTGGTCTATGTCTATGTACATACATATAGCTCACCTGGTGCAGACATGTAACCTGCCTGGTCTATGTACATACATATAGCTCACCTGGTGCAGACATGTAACCTGCCTGGTCAAGACATGTATGGTCACCTGGTGCAGACATGTAACCTGCCTGGTCTATGTACATACATATAGCTCACCTGGTGCAGACATGTAACCTGCCTGGTCTATGTACATACATATAGCTCACCTGGTGCAGA